CCAAAGTAAACTGATGCAAGGGCTTAACACGTTGACCCTTGGCAATCTTTGTCCTTGCTGTTATGAGTAGCTGTTAAAGAATTCTTCAAGGAGATAGTGATTCACTGTGGCAGCACGTGCAGTCATCACAGGGGTCACTGATGGCTTTGTTATAGCTTGACCAGGAAGAGAGTAGAGTCCAAGCCTTGAGCTGAACCTTTGCAAAAAATAGCGCCAGAGGAACCAGGTCTGAATTGGTGGGTAATCCACACAGGTGATCGGATGTGATGAGAATCACCCATGCTCAAAGGGAAATGAAGGCTTCCTTTTTTTCCAGTATCCCACTTGCCAAATTAAAGCACTTGTTAAGCACCAGCCCCTGTTTGTTTACGCAAACCCTTACATACATTCCCAACATTACTTATCTGAACAGTCCCCCTGCAGTGAGTGCTTTCAGGGCTGTGATCAAGCTGGTAACTGGTAACAGTCATGAACAAGCGCAGCACAAGTGCTTTTGGTGTCCTGATATTCCTTCCCTAGGCTCACGCATTAGGGACTGGGTGAGCTATCAATAAGTTATAATAAGATTTCTCAGTTTTAGATTTGGCAGCTTTTGCTGTTTATTTCTCTCTTACATTTGCTTGTAGATTTAAACTAAGCAGTGTTTTCAGGTAATTGAGACACTTGGGAAAACTGGTATTAACAAAATCTATTTTCCTGCATAAAGTGTTTGGCAGAAAATGACAGGCTTTCAAGTGCTTTTTTCTTTTTTAAATGCTTTTGGCTGTTATTAGCGAGGGTTAAAAAAATCTCTAGTGTGAACAATTGACTATTCACCCAGCATAAAATGACTATGGCTGTATTAGCTCCTGCCCTTAGGGAGCACTGTAAAGTCTTGGTAACAATATCACAGGCATTTTGGCAAGTACAGATAAAAAGAGAAGGCAAAAATTATAATGAAGGCTTCTGCCCAAAGATAAGCTTGAAACTATCATAACTACTATAAAAGGAGCCACTCTTGAGTGCTTCCCCAGACTGCTGACAGGAAGGATATCGAATCGCTGAGGACTTTATGCTAGCTCTGCCGTGAGTCTGGGGACAATCCAACCAAGTTTCACTTCCAGCCTCTTTTTTTCCAGCTAAGTGCAATCTGGCAATTTTCTATCCTGTTTAGGAAGTGTTTGTGGCTGGATGAAAAACAGAAAACCCAAATGATGAATGGCTATGAAACAAACACATCCTGGAAGTAGAGCAAGGGTGGTTGCCTGGAGAACTGAAAAGGATCTGGAACGAAGTCTAATAGGACTGACCAGAGTCCAGATTCCAGCTTCTGCCACATTTCACTACTGGGCCTGTGGTATTTCCCTGTGTACTGGATCCCCAAACTTCACCATTTGTGCCTTTCGGCACGTTCAGTGCTGTGCTCCACCAGGGAGTGCACAGGGCTAATTTAGCTGAAGAGAGATCCGGGGGTGGAGGTTGTTCTCCACAAGGTTTCACAGCAGATGGAGTAGATCTCAGGCAATTGGAAGTGTCAGAGATGTATGGAAAAGCCTGTATTTAGCTTCCATGTCTATTTAGGGCTGCAGCAGAGCTCAAAGGCTGAGCTTTATATGTAGACAATGGTTCTGTCCACCTTTTGTTTAAACATGTTCGTTCAGTGGGAGGCCTCTAGCTCAGGTATTCCTTGGGTTAAGGGTGTCTGCAGTGATATTTTGGGTGAAAGCCTCCATTCTTGTTGAAATGAGGCCAAGAAAGAAAGAATTACAGCTCAGAAAATAACTGGAGGGAGCCAGGATCCTTGCTGTTCCAGCAATGTCTCTGGGGCTGTTTCCTAGAAGACCTAACATGCAGATGTCCCAGCGATGAGGGAGCAAAGCCCAAATCTTTCTGCTCAAGTTCCTGAGGCCATTTCTCCTCTCAAATCCATGACTCTCTTGTTCCCTGTGTTGCATCCAGTTCTGCTACACAGCCCAACAGCGGTGGGACTCACCAGCCAAACACTTCCACAGCCAAAAGGGTTAGGGTCATACCCAGTTTAGACCTACTAAAGGAGGCCACACTAAAAAAAGAAATTCAAAGGACAACTCATGTTCTCGGTTTTATGTCTAGAACATTCAGTAGGTTTTGGGAACCCAGCATGACATGAGCCTCTCTCTGTTTAATGTGATTTTCATTAAGTCTGTCTCTGATTTTTTTCATCAGAACATATATAGCATTTTCTTAATACACTATACTGCACCTCTTCCCCTAATGAGCAGTACTTACTGCTGGGCAATCAAATGCAGGCAGAGTAACCTTTTCACCCACCTGTCCTGAACACATCTCTTTGTGCATTTATTAACATTGTGGGGTATTTCATTAGTAGAAGCCAAACAGAAGCATCAGCCATCCATTACTGAAGGCATTATGAGGCGTGGTTTATGAATATTCCATGGATCTGAATTAATATGTAGCAAGAATTAGGTGACACAGCCCAGCTTCTTTCAAGGACTACTTCAGGGCACACTTTGGTTGCATATTCCAGCTCTTTAATTTATTTGTTCAATGTAATCAAACACTTGTTTCTAAGACAGCTGAAAACATGCTGTTGAGTCAGTTCAGGAAGATGAATGGACTAAAACCCACTTGTTGTGGGTTAACCCACCCAGTAGGCAGCTCAACCCCACACAGACGCTCGCTCACTCCCCCCTCCTCCCCCGCCCCCAACAGGATGGGGGAGAGAATTGGAAGGGTAAAAATGGGAACACCTGTGGGTGAAGATAAAACCAGTTTAATAGGTAAAGGAAATGTGCATGCTGCACATACAAGCAAAGGAAACCAAGGGATTCATTCACTACTTCCCATTGGCAGGCAGATCTTTAGCCATTTCCCGGAAAGCAGGGCTCCATCACGTGTAACTTGGGAAGACTGTAACTCCAAATGTTCCCCTTTCTTTCTTTCTTCTCCCCCCAGCTTTTATTGCTGAGCACGGCATGATATGGTACGGAATACCCCTTTGGTCAGCTGGGGTCAGCTGTTCCAGCTGTGTCCCCTCCCAGCTTCTTGCACACCCCCAGATTACTTGCTGGCAGGCCAGTGTGTGAAACAGAAAAGGCCTTGATGCTGTTTAGCAATAGCCAAAACACTGGTGTGTTATCAACACCGGTTTGGTCACAAATACAAACCATAACACCCTACAAGCTGCTGTGAAGAAGATTACCTCCATCCCAGCCAAAACCAGTGCACTGTTACACTTCTGAGGAGTTTTTGTTAACATTTCATTGCTAATTCAGAAAAATAAAATAATTTCTCAAGTTGCAGAATTATTTCTGTGCATGGGTAATTTCTAATCTGTTGCTTATAGGATGTTTTAATAACTGTATGACAGCTGTTCAAAGCCAATTTTAACAGGGGAGGGAAATCATTATACATTACCTCAAGACTATTTAGTAGTTTAATATGTTCTATAAATGTTGATAGATGTAAATAGCTGCTGTATTTCACTGCAAGAAGCAGTGTCCCAGTCAGACTGGCATAGGCTGATGCTCCCTTTGTGCTAGTTCCAGTTGGCAAATGGTTCCTGTTCTGTACTACTTTACCCTTCATTTTTCTAGACTGTATCTTTTTAAGAGCTACAGCTGAATTTCAAGGGGCACATGTTTTTAACATATTTCACAGACTATTTTCCTATTTGAGAAAGTGCTCTGGAACATTGACTCCGCTTGTAAGATTTCAGGGGAATACATTACCATGCTTCAAGCACTTAGACCCATTCCCATATTGGCATATTGGTCAACATTAGTCTTGTATACCACCAGTTCTAAAACTTATCTTCAGGAGGAAAGAAGACTTAAGCAATTGGGCCATCTGTGTATCTGTGTGTTTCTTCTCCCAGTAATTTTTTTGAACCCATGAGCAAATTTCGGCTAAATTTGGCAGAGGGAAACAGGTCGATAAAATCATATTGCCACAGGTTATGTCAAAGTAGAGGACTAAATAGAGAAGATGGGTCACAGAATTGGCAAAACAGAGGAAGTCTGCAGTATGATCATTGTTAGACACCAGAGGATCAACATGAATCAAACATGAATCAAAAAACCTCCAAAGAATTTTTTCCAAAACACTGACACCTGTTGATTTAAAGATGATTCACAGTTTCTGGATCTTGCACTTCCTGACTGAAAATTATGTTGTTTCCAGCTTCCCTGCTATTTTTTTCCACAAAAGATGTCTGACTTGGGAATCATCAATAGCAGAGATCTTAGCAGCCAACACTAGGGTTGGCCCACACAACTGGGTTGTCTGTCTTGGGGCCATATTTCTCCTCTCAGATGGAGCTTACAGTAAGAACATGGTTAGAGCAGTTGTGGAGCTTGGGAAACACTTTCCTGTGGAGAGGTGCAACAGCTGGGGACGGGTGTAAACTACAGAAAAGCAGAACATTGAAACTCAGGAGTAAGTGCAGTCTCTGAAGATGTTGACAGAGCTATGAGGTCTCTTCAGAGTCGTCAACTCTAGGTTTCCTGCAGTCAATATCCATTTCTTTCTGATACCTGAACTAAAGCCCTGCATCCTGGCAGCTGGACCAGGACTTGCAAACTTGAATATCATAAATAAAACCTTGATGAGCACTGGAATATGACTAATTCAACAGAAAACCTTGCCCAATTTTTGGTACCCATTGGCTTTCTGCCTACATGCATACTGCCAATATTGCCACTAATAAAATTCCTGTTAGCATTGTAAATCTGCTTTGCCCTCTACTGCATATGCTTTGGGACTATCTGATAATTCAAAGCATCAGGGAAAAATGTTAATTATTGAGTACAAACTATTTGAGGTGCTACACTGCCATGAGACCTCCTGTCCCAGATTTCTGTTTATTATAGGCCTTTTATATCCATAAGTGAGCAATAAGGAGGTGGGTGGGTATTTTGCAACTTACTCTTGGCCAAGATGTTCATCCTTACCAACTGAAATCATTCTGTTCTCTCCCAACCTCTAATTTGAGAAGGTAGGAGGAAGTTCACCTTTTTAAGAGCTTTTTTTGTTCACATAAAGTCTACCAAAGCCCACAAAGTTTTCTGTAAACTACTGTCATGGTTTAACCCAGCTGGCAACTCAGCACCAAGCACCCTCAGTGGGATGGGGGAGAGAATCAGAAAGAAAATAAAAGGTTAGAGCCGAGGGCTGAGATAAAGACAGTTTAGTAAGAGAAAATAATAATAATAGTAATAATGAGAATGATAACAGAATATACAGAATATACAAAACGAATGATGCACAATGCAATTGCTCACCACCCGCCGACCGATGCCCAGCCCGTCCCAAGCCGCGAGCAGTCCCCGAGCCGCGAGCAGTCTCCCCGCGACCGACCGACCAACCTAACTAACCCCCCCGAGCATGACGTGGTATGGTATAGCCCTTTGGTCAGTTTGGGTTAGCTGTCCTAGCTGTGCTCCCTCCCAGCTTGTTATGCCCCTGGCCGAGCAGGAGAAGCTCAGAAAGTCCTTGAGTAGTCTGAGCACTACCTAGCAACAGCTGAAAACATCAGTGTGTTATCAACATTCTTCTGGTACTAAATCCAAAACACAGCACTATGCTAGCTACTATGAAGAAAATTAGCTCTATCCCAGCCAAAACCAGGACAACTACAGATTATGAAATCCACCAGTGGACTCTTAATTATTTGAACTTCCGCACATGATCAAGTACTTCGTTGAATGAGTGTCTGTATTTCAGACCCAGGGTTGTTCTGGGGAGAGGTTCTGGGGCAATTCCTCTTTCTTTACGGTCTCTAGACCTAACAGAATGAAGAAATCTATCACACAAGCAAGATCACTAGGATTAAATTCTTTGTGTGAGGTTAGAACATTGCCTACAATTTAAAGAAAATAATACTTGTTTTCAGTTGGAAGCGTTCACAAATGAATCTCTTCCAAAACATCTAGCACTAAGCTAGACACTGTCTGCAAGGCGCTGTGCAGAGTGCTGCTACATTCTGCTGTGCTGAGCTCCTTATCATGCTCACTGATTGTCAGCCTCTTTCAGAGCGCTGTACACATCTTATCAAAGGATCTTATGGACTCACAGGTTAGCAGTGAAAGGATGGGCACATCTATACCTATGCATGATTACATGGGGAATCTGTTCTCATTCCCTTCATTATAACTTTGCCCACGGTGACTGGAGCATGTGTTTACCTGGAGAAATTGCATTGTGAAAGGAACTTATGACATACTTCCAGCTGCCTCTGAGCTCTATGATTTTGTCATTACTGCTAAATGCCAATTTCCTCTCAGATTTGGAGTCTTGAGTTTGGAAAAGAAAGCTGTCACTGTGTAACCAGATACATAAGCAAGTGTTGTTCAGAACCATATGACAAAGGACAAGAGGAGACTTCCAAATCTTGTGTTGTCACAGCCATATACCTGCGCAATTCACTGTCTCTCCTCACTTCTCACACAGTTTCTCCTTATCTCTTACATGCCCATCATTGTAGAACCATGTTTTTGGTCCAGTCAGTTAGAAACAGTGCTGTTGGAAACAAACCAATGATTTGTAAGAAAGAATTAAACATTGGCAGTTACCCCTCTCAAATAGGACTTTTGATGCTTGTGTACAGTATTTATAAGAAATGTTAGTCCAACACAGTGTAATAAAACAAAAGTAATCTAAAATCCTGATAAGGGATTCCAATAATACGTTTCAGTGTGCAGAAATCCCATTTTCCTGATGCACAGTCACTGCGCCTCTTATTACAGTTGGTGTGTATATATACATAAGCAGACTTTCACCACCCCAGAAATCACATGTATGTCCTGTCAAATAGCATTTGATGTTTCAGATGAAAAGTCGGGCCAGAAGTGACATATTACTCATTGAAATGAAGGACATGTCACACACAATTTCCTCTTCGTGTGAGGCTGAGTCAGTTTGCCCCACCGTCTGGCACATGAGATGTGTCGATGGCAGTGGTTCCCATTACATGCACAACAACTGTAGCTCACTGGTTAGATGAGCAAGTCCCAGTATCATCACTGCCAGCTGTCTTATGTACTATTTCAAACTGCTATGAAATGTGCGGATGACTATAATATGGGATGTGTCATGGGCTATGCTCATTTGGCTTTGCTCATCTGAACCTTTGACATTGTGTGGGGTTCCTCATCATGGCTTGCTCTGGTTCTGCTGTGGATTAGGCTGCATCTCAAGTTATTTTCAGAATAAGGGAAGGATGTGTTAATAGTCTTGCTGTCTTAACATGAACAGATGTGAAAATTGGCATGATGCTGAGATAGGGCATATAAAAAACAGAAATAGAAATTTGCATCAAACTTTGGCTCAGCAATAATTCTGGGAGTGTAATTTTAATCTAGTCTAATTAGCCTAATTTCTATGACTACTGATTTTTCAGCACATGTCTCTAAAGAATCATATTTAGGAAAATAGTAGCAAAACTTGCAGTTGTCACAGCAGATGCAGTGCCAGTCCATCTAAACAGGGAAATTGGTAGATTCAGGATTTGATACCACTTTTTGAGAAAAAGATTATGGTATAAACAGAAAATATACTGACATAAATTCTTGCATTACTTTTGTCTTTTATGAGATGAAGCCAAGGATCATTCTCAGATGTAAGCCAGGTCTCTGGCTGAGATTCAGCACTTTTTCAGTGGATGTGGATCATGCTTTTCTTAGCCTATTAGGCCTGAGATGGTAAAACTTCCAGCTAGAGTAGGAATTTCCTCATCCTCCTGTTCTCCACTGCTGGATAGATGCTTTGTGAAATGTAATTCAAGAGTTTCTATTTTTTTTTGAGTCCCAGGGATTGCTCCACGAAGATCTCTCATGTATGAAATTTGCTTTCCCTGCTCCCAGACAGGGTCTAAATGTGGTGACTGCAAAGGGGCACTACATGGTGGAGTTATTAGTGGGACAGATTGGGAAAGAAGATTTGGTAGTGAGATACGTCAGTTCAGCTTAAGTTCCTTGTGATATCAGTTTTGTATATTCACACAGAAAGATGATGGGCATATTTAATAAGTCCTCAAATACATAAATAAATAAAAATTATCATCTGAATTGCCTGAAATATTAAAGAACTTTGATAAATAAATTACAACATTTTCAATATGGGTCCCATTATGAAACATTTTATTAAAATGGCTGTAACTATACATATGCTTGCAATCTGTCTTAATTATTTGAAGAGCCTAAATGAGGTTCTCTGAAGTCCTAGACTAGCACCCTAACCACTAAACCATCCCACCCTTTCCTGTGTGATCCTGGGGAATTACTCATTTTTGCTGTCTTTACATTTGTTTGTTTATTTTAGTTCTTAATGGAGGAACTAATTAGCAAATGTGGATATAATGCTGACTCAAGAACTCATTGCTGGATTTAATCTATAATTTAATTTGCCTCAGAAAAACATAGCAGCAATGAAAAAGGATTGGTCAATGTCACATGATATTGTATGAATGCTACCAATCAATCCAATCCTTTACTGTCACATACATCACTGTAGAACTGGTGAATTCCTTAACTTCATTTATATTGCCCCTGATTTACATAATCATCACAGGTGAAACAATATTAGACCTTCTAATCTCTTTCTGCCATTGCTCAGAACACCTGCACATTTCATTCAAGGTTTTGTTGAGCAAGGACTGAAAAGAAACCCCCAGGGTTTGGCCAAGGGAATAAATAACTCTGTCATCTGGGAATATAAGTGAGAAGACAGGACGAAATGTCAATTGGGAATTATTATGCAAAACAGAAGGAACGCAGAAAGCAAAACAATGTTAAAATTTAATTTGTGTGTTTTAATATTATTGTCTTTTTATGTTTTAAAGGCACAATATAAAAATAAATATGACAAAGGGATAAATGCATCTAGTATAATTAGCATGAAAATTACACCTCATTTGTTTTCTGGATATTGCTTTGTCTGGATTATAAATGGCATGTAGGTACAGTAGGACGTGAAATATCTCAGAATATTAAATTCTTTTAAGATGGCGCCAGGGGGGCCTTGATGTCTTCTTTTATTCCTGACTCAAATTTATTGTTCTCATGTTGTCAGCAATAACCCTTCCACAAAAATGCACTCTCTATCCCTGGTCTGAGCTCTGCCAATTTCTAGGGCGCTGTCTACAGCGATAGCTAGTGCAGGAAAGTTTTATACCGAGTGGAAATAAGAACCTGTTCCCTCACCATACTGTTCTCAGACAGAAGCTGAGATTGTGCCCATCTTTTTACTTTATGAAGTGTCCAACAGACATTCATACACTGCAAATTGTAACAACTCAACATTTTTTAATGAGATACAAGCGTTAAAAGAAGATTTGGTGTTCTTGGTGTTTGGGTATTTGGGTCTTATCCAGTGTTCCGCTGTCCAAAGTAGTTGTGTAGGGGCACGTTTTCAGAAATCTCCATTTAACACCAGGAATGATTATTCACTAGCAACCATCTGATAAAGACCAAAACATGAACTGCAAAACCTAAGGGTCTGGTTTTGGTTTAGAAATGCTCTGCCCAAACCTGTCTGTTAGAGGAGCCTGCAAGTGGCACTTTGCCCGCTGACTTTGGGTCTGGTTTACATCATTCCAGCCAAGGAAAGAATCTTTGACTACAGTGGAGTTCAGATCACCTGCCTGACAGCCACAAATTCTGTTGTTTTCCATTATGAAATAACTTATTTTTGAGAATGGATTTCCTCAAGCTCCATTTAGAGGTGTTTCAAGAGCTTTTTTTTTTCCTTAATCCAAAGCTGGTGGGCAAAATTCTGGAGTTGTCAGATGCACAGATCTGACAAAGTGGCCCATGGGCTTTAGTCAACCACATGAAGTTTTTTGTTTGATTTCCCAAACTATAAGCGAAACATCCCACAGGTGATATTTTCCCTTCCCCAAACACCAGCATAAGTGCGTGTACTTCTTTTAAGAAAAGAGGGAGCATATATTACTGAAATGACTACTAAAAATGGTATTAGAATAAATAAAACCCACAGAAGAGGGAAACAGTACTTTACAAAAAAAGTTTGGAAGTGATTTATGTGAAAATTTTAATGACATGATCTTTTTTAAAAGCCAGCTGGTGCTATTACTTTGCTAACTATCAAAAGAAGAAAAAGAGAATAGAAATGTGTGAGGAAATAATTTTTCTCCATCTAAATGCAAAGAGAAAATAGTTGAAATATTTACTGCAAAAATGAATGGCATTCTAAATGCTATTCTGGCAAAAGTCATTCTATTTGGAAAAGTTTCAGTAAGTGGAAATTCAGAATAGATCTGGACTAGAAATTTTGAAAATAGACATATTGCAGGTTCTGAAAAATAAATAAGCACTGATGGTGTCTGAAAAGGGAAGGATTAAGTTATATGCCCTGAAAACCCTTATTAAACTCCTTGTTTAAGAGCTTTTGATTTAACCATAGTATTTCTTGAAATTGTTTTTACTTATGAACATTTATAGCTGATTATAGCCTATAAATTGTAGTCCAGGAACTAAACAAAAATGGCCGGGCAGTTAAGAGAAAAAGAAAATTTATATATAGGACCTCTTTGTTTTTTCATAGCGATTTAACAGCTGAAAG